ACGCTCCTCACCGTGGAAGGCTCTACGTGAACTGGAAAAGGGTCCGACCGATTACTCAACGTGACACGTTCCCGAAGCTACGGGGGAGGAAGAGCCGCCTTCAAACGTCGAGGAATTGACGCCTGTCGAGACTGCGGGATCTCGCGGATCCGCACGTATCGTATATTCTCCCTCGACGAGTGCGCGAAATAGACATCGGTGCTCGGGATTATCGAGGAGATTTCTCAATGAGGTCATTAAGTCCCTTAACAATAACTACCAGTGAACTATGTGAAAGTAGATAATTCATCGGACAGATATACCGACTCTCTAAGGTGCAATCAGCGTATAATCACTGAGAAGCAGTCAGTAGCCACTGGTGGTGTATAGTTATAAATGTAGCACTGCAAATTAATAAAATTTCACTGAAAAAGTCTGTTAATAGCAGCGACTGCTTCCATCGGGAGAATCTGACTAAAGAAACAGTGAAAAAGATATTATTTATCATTATTTTTACCGGAGGAAAATAATTTGCTGGCATAGTAAATTGTTAGTTACCATGCGAACAACAAAAAGATTTGTTACACGAAGAAAAATAATTTTGCTGTGTGGCAAAATCGTCGTTGTAACAGCAAAAGAATTTAGTTGGCATAACCAAATTATTTTGCTGACTATATATCCAGCAGAATAGCAATTAATAAATCTTAACATAATCTTTTTGCTGCCTCATTCAATGAGTGGGTACTTTCACTGATTCGACTAAAGAGAGGACAGAAGGAAGAAAAAATTAATTAGGGTCGCTGAACTGATACAACTCGGTGCAACTTCGACGATCGCAAATCTCACCGAAAATAACCGTAAAGTATCGAAATCGACGCATAGCTGCGGCCGATGGAGACGATTAAGAGCATGAGCCACAAACGAGCCTCTTCTTCGCTTCGCAAAGTTTACGAAACAGTTTACGAGCGGCGTCTTCCTCTCACGCACGCGCGCGACATAAATTGCACTTCGCTGCGCTCGAGAGAAAAAAAAAAGAAAGGAAGACGCGGGATACATTAATAAAAATCCCGTAGCGCACGGAGAAAGACGGCCTTCAAAAATTAATTCAGCAGGTAAATCACGCCCGCTGCGCCGCGCTACTTTATGAAGACATTCAGGTGGGCACACGGGACGACGCGCACGAAGTGGTTGAAGTTAAAACGGCCTACCCCGTATACGTATCAGTGGCTAGCCTTCGCACATGTTCGCCTTGAGTCTCTCTCTCTCTCTCTCTCTCTCGCGAAGTCCGCGCGCGCTCGCTGCATTTGGAAGCGCAAACGCGACGACGCGCCGTTTGCGAGTGATCCATTCCGAGGTTAACAAGGTTGCGGAAGAACTTGGAAGAGACTCTCGTACGCGCGGGATTTTAGTCTTCCGCTTCTGCGCAATCAGCCGGACCGTTCCGTCTCTGTCGGCTTAACCGACTACCCTAGGCGCGTCCCTTTTGCGGCAGCAACCCCTTCGCGACTCGCGCGGCTACGCACACGCATGTACGCGCACACGTGCGTAGGCACGCACGCACACTGTCACACGCGAAGCACCGGAGCGCGTGCTTGCGAGCGAAGAAAAAAGGAAGAAGCACCTGGAGCATGCGAGATCGTCGCGAGCGGATTAAGGGCTTACCCGATTGGCGCAGATTGCCTTAATTTCTCAAACGGCGCGCGAGCGATACCGCCGGCTGGCCGTGTCTCGAGGAACGAAGAGGTTCCCCCCGGGTGCTCGACTTACCCAACGTGAGAGACGTACTGTACTGTCTGCGATCAAAGCCGACGGCGCGACCCTCCTCGGTTCGAGGAGCCTTCGATCGGAGACCGAACCGTTCGCGAAAAATTAGATACTCGACCACTCGCCGGGAATGGCGTTCGTGCACGGCCGACGGAAATAGATTGCGTCCACTTGTACAGGTACCTAGAGTACCTATAATAAGAGTATAGACACCGTATGTGTCTGGTTTCTGGATTGGCTCCGCCATGCTTGGGTCAGCTTCCAGATGTGTCAAAGGTTGCCTTCCAGCAAGAGGTAAAAGTTGAACAAGTGTAGTTATATTATCCACACTGAAAAGAATTAGTCTTAAATCAACATTATAGATATTTTCATATATAATATATCAAGTATATTATAATCTTCGTAGAAAATTTGTAGTCTTGATTAAATTTGCACTGATGCAAATATCACTTGCACTCAACTCAAGACTAAAAATCTTTTAAGAATATGATAATATTCTTGCTTATATATGAGAATATTTATCATTGATTTTTAAAGCTATGTATGTTAAAAGAAAAGTGAGCTTGTGTGTTTCATATTGTGATTAATTATTAATTTAATTTGACTTACACCCATTTTAATGGTATTTGAACATATGGCGTGTTATGGCTGTGAATTTCCGGTTTTAACTCAAACATGGCGGCTACGGTGTCTATACTCTTGTTATGGGTACTCTATAGATACCGCGATACTCGAGGCGAACAAACGCGAGGAGAGTATTCTCGTAGAACAAAATGCTGGAAGCTCGCTCTATCCTCTTCTCTCTCTCCCTCTCTCTTTGTGTGTTTTTTTTTTTCTTTCACCCGTCTAGTTCTCGCGAGTTTGCACTCTACTCACATGCAGTTTTCTCGCGAGTGATCGAGCTGCCAAAACCCAACGGAACAACACGGCGAAACTGCATTCCCATGTAAGTGCTGCCAATCTTAATTCCATTAACGCACGCGAGCTCGATTAAAAGTAACGAAACTTTCGGGGCATCTATCATCAATTCAACTCAGCCGCTCCGGCTGCGCATCAATGTAGCATCAAAACACCACCGGCAAACGACTTCAAGAGCGAACATTAAAAAAGTATCTTCATCACAAGAGTAGCAATGAAAGTGTGTTATTATTAGAGAGTCGCATTATTAATATCTCTCATCAGAGTTCTGCTAAAACTTCTCGGGAGAAATTGTCCAAGATAAATAAAACTAGATCCGAACTGAATCTCGCTCTGATTCCCTTCGAAATGATATCACGGGACGAATAAACGCCGCGTTTAAATTATCGTAACGAGAACGCGTGTACTTCAGCAGATCGGAGTTTTTATTAAAGTTTCTTCAAACGTTAGACACTGCTGGTGCTGTTCATGGAAAAACTAAATTGGCGTGAGACTCGAAGGCACCGTAAGATGGGACGATCGTACGGTTTGACGCGAAAGAAAAATGGCTCGATACACGTGTGTTCGGAACAAATAAACACGCGATCGTACATCTTATTCCGGCCATCATTGTTAGCGTGTAACCGTATTTCTCTCTCTTTCTCTCCAGTCTGACGAATCGCAAACGATCGTTCGCCGGTCTCTGTTGCTACCTAATACGCCGCGTATATACGGGGAACAACATTCTGTGACGACCTGTGCACCTGCAATTTCGTCGGTCATCAGTCGCAATATTACGGATGTAACGATCTTTCCCGATGTGTATCTATTGTAGCCTACTGAAAACTGCCTCCATATTGGAGTATTATCTCTCTTTACGATGAAGCGGCTACTTTAATCGCGAAATCGTCTCGTTCTGTCTCGATGTTCGGAGAAAAGTTCTCTTGGAAGGAAAGTAGAAACGGTGAGGAATTCCAAAGAGAAATATCTTGATATGTTTATATATCTATCAAATAAATTCATTGTATATATATATATATATATATATATATATATATATATAACTAGATAATCGTTTTTCAAGTATGTATTTCGAATAATATTAAACTATAAGATAAAAATACCAATGTACCGGACATGTGCATAAACACTTTCATTATTTTGGCATTTAAATACGAATATTTATATTTTTAATGTAGAATATACGTATATATTCAATGTATATACATATACTAATGGTCGAAAGTTTAGATATTCGTAGTTAAAAACCAAAACAATAAAAATGTCCAGGTATCGATGCTTTTCCTTAACCTTAACAGTGCATTCTTATATCTGCATCGTCGTTTTCAATTGTACTCTGATCAATATTAATTTTTATTACTACCGGGTGAATCGAGAAAACAATGTAATAAGGCGGGAGGTGGACGAAATCAGTTGTTTCCCGAGAAAAGAATAACAAAAGTCTATGAGAGACTAAGCGCGACTGGTTAATAATGCGAATCCAAGCGCGCTCGTAAAACGCGCTCGTGCTTCTCGCGCGAGGACGCTCAGCTGAATGGACTGGCGTATGCCTGTGTGTCGGTCGTCGACATTAACTTTACGAGCGAACGCACAACTTCACGTGCGAAGAGCCGGCGTCGTCCCTATTAGCACGGCGTTAAGACGCGTGAATTATATATGCGTCTGAGACGCGATACTTTGACGTAAATACTTTTCCCAGGCTGATTCTATAGTCCGTTTTTCACGTCGCTCCGATAACTTCTCGAGCGTGTGAAGAACTCATCGCGACGTACGAATCGTTTCAAATTCCATGTTAAAAATTCGCAATCCGACACTTCCAATGCCTGCAGAAATCTTCATCGTTGCAATGCGACTATTCGGATTGTTAACGAGAACGACCCGCGTCTCGTTCCACGACTCATAGACTGTTCACATCGATCGTTTGAGAAAATCAGCATCAACTAGTAATTTTATACCAAGTTATTATTATTTCAATGATATATCGAATCGATCGCTGAATTGATAGGGTATGTCTTCACAATGCGCGGTGCACCACCAGCTTCTAACGTAGAGAAAAAATTACTTAAAAATTTATTCACAGAATATAAGGTTTATTTCTGCAAAATAAACCTCTTATATCCCGCAGGTACCTTTTCCTCAGTATCGGCGTAATAAAGATAATTTGTTGGGAAATCACCGTTTGATAGGTACGTGAAAGAATCGGTAGAAGCCGGCGCATACAGACGGAAGGACGCGTCCTACATCCGCGCGCACAACCCCACTCGCAAGTCGCGGAGCAAACACACACCGGTCGTTCTCGCGTACCGAGCGTCGTATCGATTTAACGGACTCGCACCGACCTCTTTCCGTTCCGACGCCGTCTCTTGGTGGCGTAGACGGTCCCCAGCTGGCTCATGGCGACGGGGTTATTGGGGCCCGACGCCGACGTCGGTGTCGGCACCGGTGCCGAGGTGGGCGTCATCGCGGGATCAACGACGTGGGGCTGAGGGTGAGTGGCGGTCAGGGTGAGCTGCGATCCCGTGGGATAGCATGCCGCCGTCACGTAATCCGTCGGCGCGAGAGACGCGTTCGGCGGTGCACAGATCCCGGTGACCACCCCAGGTGCACCACCGCCACCGCCGGCACCGCCACCGCCGGTGCCGCCGCCGCCACCGCCACCACCGTTGCCGCCGCTGACGACGACGCCGCCGCCACCACCGCCGCCACCGACACCGACGACACCACCCCCGACCACCCCCAGCCCCGCCGAGGCGGCTCTGTCCAGCGCGTACACCGTGCAGACCGTGACGCCCCTTGCCTCTAGCGACGACGCTACGTCATCCTCTGTCACCGTCGTGGTGCCACCACCACCAGCTGCTGGCGTCGGTCAGCACTTGCTCCTGATGACACCGTACGCGCGGCAGCTGTTGCAAATTCGCCCTGCCGAGCGGCGTCGGAGCGACCACCACCGGGCAGGCGGTGTTTCTCTGTCCACTGTGCTCGAGAGTTTCTCGGAACCTGGTGAATCGGTGTTTCAGACTCGGCCGATCGTTCAGAGTCGAGCGACGCGTCGTATTCCCTTAGACTTGGCAGAGTTCATCGCGAAAACCCTCCGACTCGTCGATATCGCGGAGCTCACGGCGCACCGCGCGTCGATCATCTTTCCGAGTCACTGGTGAATCGCGACGCGAGCCACTCGATCACGAGCGCTAGTCATTCGCCGGCTATATAACACCACGTCACTAACGTTCGGCGATCAACGACGGTCCTACGGCCGAGTCGACACTCGGACAATGGCGAACACCTTTGACCCGGGATGGAAGCGAGAGGCTCGCCCCATCCTCGGCTCCGCAAAGGACTCGCGCGTTATCTTATCCTCACTGCAGATCCTCACGTCAGTTTCACTCTCACTGCTCGGACTAACACCAGCACCCTCTCAACGAGCGCTACCACTCGGCTAATATTGTCACGGTGTATCTGCCCCGCGAGGACACCCGAGGCGGAAGTCACTAGTACCGGCGGGCTCGCCGAAGAGGATTCGCCGGTGCGAGACGCTTATCACCCCGAAGACTTTCCGATCCGTCACGTGCGCGCGTACAAAACTGACCCGCGCGAACGATCGCACTCGCTCCCACCCTTCCTCGAGGTCGGTCCCTCCCTTCCGGTTTGTCGCGAACGGGAGGAAGAAGGTTTCTTCCCCTACCCCGGTGTCCTCTTCCTTCGCCCTCGCGGCCGCGAACCCGCTCAGTCGCGAACCGCCGATCTAGGATCTAGTCGCGCTACGCTCGACAACGCTGGTGAACGCGAAACCACGATAGGTAGGTAGGCAGGCAGAGACAGGTAGGTGGCAGAACCCTCGTGTTGGCAGGCGCGGAGCGAGCGCGGACGGTGCGGTGCTCGCTTCGTAGAAGCGTATCGTGTACTGGCGGACCTGCCGGGCGTAGCATAAGTCAGGAGAGCGTGGCATAGATCGGAGAGTGGAGGCGCAGGCCGGTGGTGGTGGGCCCAGCAGAGGAGTAACCTTCATGGGTCGACCGGGAGACCGGCCGCCGGCTTCTACCCACCGTCACGCAGGGTCACCACTCTGACCCCCACCCGCACCTCTCGCCACGCCTACAAGTAGGCCAAAAGGACCAATCACGGTGCCAGCATGGCGCTACCGACCTTAACACCGCGGAACCATCGGCTGAACGATACCATCGCGCGCGCCTCGAGATTCCACCTACTCCCGACGTGCTCTTCCTTCTTCCTCCGCGTCCTCTTTGCCGCCGCGCGAGTCCGCGATACCTGTACGTCGCGCGTATCTGTGCTGGGAGACGCACCGATGGAAACGCGCGAAACGATCGACCAGGCCCGTCGAGCCCTGTAGGACTGGCTGACGTTTCTCTTGGATCGAGTGCTGATGATTACGATGATGATTAAAACGAGGATTGTAATCATTTTAATGACGATGGTGATGTAGTTCAGCGTTGTCCCGTCGGAAAAGTGTCAAACTGAACTGTCCTAATGTATCAGTCGGGTATGGATTATAACCAATATTATTATTTCATTGATCTATTCCAATTCCAATTGATTGATAGAACACAATTGAAAAAACCTAATAATCATTTATCATACTGAGAAAAGGGACTTAAAAATTATTTGTGTAATATAAGGTTTATTTCACACAAAAATGAACATTTATTTAAATACGGCGAAATTAAGTTTTATTCCTAGCAAATAAACCGATTAATAAGAAAACTTAGATATATATTTCGCAAAAATATATATATTCCGTCATCACAGTCAAATTTTTTTCTAACCAATAAATATCGAAAAAAATGTCACAAGAAACATTAATTTCGCAGAATTTCAATTTCTTTTTCTCAATGCATCGTTGAAACACAACTGGGGATACTACACTGAAAAAAGGATTTGGTAATAAGTATTAAAATTTAGTGAATATTTGCCGACCAAATATTTTTTTATTATCACAACCAAATATAATTTAGTTCCGTTTATCAAATATACAATATATGGAACTGCACACAGTACTGTACATACAGTAATTAAATTATTTGATTACAGTAATCAAATTTCCGATCGGTAAATATCCGTCAGATTTTAGTACTTATTACCTATCCTATTACTTATTACCAAATCCTACTTTCACTGTTTTTTGGCACAGATTTATGTAAATCTAATATCAATGTGCTGACTCTTCCTATTAATTTCGTTTCTTAATTGGTAGTCCTAAACTTAGTAATAATTAACAAAAAAAAGAAAGCTTTAATTTTCTAACTTTGTGTCTATCCAAAAATATCTATCCAATGTGTCCATCCAATTTGCCTGTGTGTCTATTCAATATGTCTATCCATCTGGATCTGTCGAAATGAATTTATCTAAATGAGTTTACACAAGTTTTACACAAATGTATCTATCTAACGTGTCTACCCAAATTAGTACAATTTCACGTGACGATCCAACTTATCTTTTCAATTGCATATGCAGATACAACAATACGCTTCCTCGAAACGAACGCCGGTCAATCGCACGTGTTTTGCAATCCAATTGCGGGCCACAAAATACATAAATTACCGGCCGCGCGATAAGCCGGACCGGAACAATAATGTTCCGCGATCGTTACCGATTCCCGTGCCACGATCCACTCTATCCCTGACGGATGACGCGTATGTACACACACGTATACAGGCGTCATGTTCCCTCTTATCTGAAGAACCTGCTCTTCGTGAACGCTATCTGATCGCGAGACATAAGCGATATCACCGTGGCCAGAAACAACGGCAGTTACAGCGACTACTGACATCGACTGTATTGTGACGTTACGATCAGAGAAGGATCAACGGCCTCGCGAACGGGATTCCGCGACCAAGGGGATTCCTGCTGCACTCCGGCATACATCGTAAGCCGATATCGTCGAGGCGAATATACGCCGAAAACGGGTTTGTCGGTGATCGAAACGCTTGGGCGACACGCAACACATCGCTGTTGTTAGCGATACAGCGCGTTATCAGCGACGATACATCGAACACCGATAGTTCTCCGATGTTATTACTGTGATGCCGTAGACTTTTATTTTCCCCGTGATTCAGAAGATACATCGAGAAGACTGATCCGACATCATCCATCATATCGAAAATATCGCTTGACGAAAATTCGACGAAACCCAACTTATCGTTCCGAGAAATGACTAAGACTATGGCGTATCTCTTGGAGAAACGTAAATCATTTCGTTTCTTCGTACAGTTCAATAAGACCCATATTACTCATCCGTGTGCCGTTCTTCGGCCGGCGGGTGGCGCGAGTTCAGAAAGCACAAGCCACCGCATTTTGTATTAAAATCGGTTCTTCTTAAAATTTTTGTGTTATATTGTTAACACGCCTGCATGTTAATTAAACATTTTGTGTTGTATCGACATTCAATATGCGTAAGTGTGAAAATAACACATTTTATATTTCAATGTCGATTAACGTATTAATTTTGTGTTAATTCTCGACAAGCAACTCAATTCCCCGTATCACGACGACCTTCATGAGTTCAATTAATTTTATGATTTTTATTTCATACTGACATCGCGCCGACTTTCAAAAATTAGATCGCACGGCGTGTGTAGTGCGCCGATAATGCTGCAAGAGAATAACGCGATCCGCATTCTCGAGGAGCTCCGCCTTCTTTAACGGAGCGGACTCGTTCTACCGACTTGCCTATTACCGAGTAATAAATACCCCGCCCTCGGTCTTGTTTTAATAACGTATTACACACCTTTTTACGAAAAATCTCATTCGCGTTAAGAACTCATTTCACGCATGCGGCCCAGAGCGCTATGCGGATGCTACCGCGGCGCGTCGCCGGGACTTCTTACACGCGAGACTCTCTTCGCAGCGGCACCACAGCAGCTCTCTTCCCTTCGCACAGCTGCAGGCTCGACCTCTCCTCCTCTCCGCCCTTCTTCCGCCTATGTACACAGGGTCTCATCGTGTCCTGTCTCTTTTCCCTTCGTCCGAGTCACGCGAATTCGGGCATGTAGCTTGTTTACTTCTTCGCGCTGGATCCTGACAACTTTTACTTTCGCCTCCACCGGTACGCGCGCGTATATCGATATCCCTTAATTACGAAACTTAACACCGCATAACCGACGCGCCACTTTTTAATACGGATGCATGCGACGCAAGTCCGCTTTGTTTCATGCATACTGAAGGCGTTTCGCGGCGAAAAATGCGCGAAAACGGCAACAGATTGAAAATCTCACAGTCGTATCGTTGGAAATATCATTCGTTTCTCAGCGTTGTTCAATATGCAAGAAATGAAAAAAATCATGACACAACTGTAAATTATCGCGCTTTGTTGTGTCGAGTCGCTCGACTGAACGCTGAAGGTACCTTTCGCGCTTAGTTCCGCGCGACGGAAACACGGCGTCAGTGAAACTGCCTATAGAGAAATCAACGTTCACCTCGGAAAGGCAGTCGGGAGATTACAGAGAT